AAACTTTATGCCAGCACTAAACAGAAAGTGAAGGTTCACCAAAGTCAACAGGATTCATCATCTAGGAACCATGAATGTCTTTACAAACTTTCATTACAATTTACCCAGAAGCCAAATAAGCAGTGCTGCAGCAACACAGCAGAGAATCAGGAGTGACCATAATAAATCTGCCTTTCTTTGGTTTATTCTTTTTTATTTAGTTGCCTGTGTGTTAGTTTAGCCCCTGTAGCATATGGTCTTTAATCAGAGGCACATCTAATAGCAGTAGATCTTGCTTACACTGCAGGGGGATTATGAGATGACAGCGATGTCAGATGTCTCTGTTCTTTGTTGTTTTACTATATTTTCTCTCTTTAATGTTTGTCCTTGTCTATTGTACATGTGACTTTAATCTTAATCTTCAGTCCAGCATGGAATATGTTTAAAGTCAGGGCTAGACATAAATAACTGATGTACTGGTTCTACACGCTGTTTGATGGCGTATCGCCTGGGACTGGAGCTACTTTAGGGGGAGAGAGAGGATAAATGAAAACAAAATTCAGTCAGAAACTACTATTTATTTACTCCATTCTTTTTCTGTAAAAAAAATATTGCAAAAAGAAAAAGAGGGTGAACATGAGCCACCCCACTATATCACTTGCATCTGCCAACAAGCAATTTCTATTTCAACTATTCAGCTCCACTGTCTCCTCTGAAAAAGACATAAATCATCTCACCCACTGAACCACTGCAGAGCTGTGTTTGTACTTGTAGTTCATGTTTATGTTTGAGCAAATTTGTCATTTGGTGGTTATGTCTGTATGCAAGTGTCCACATATGTGCAAGTACCTTTATGTATTTAATGCTACAAGTGTCTCCATCCCTGAGGTTCTGTAGCCGTGACAGACTCATAAAGATCACTGAGCAAACTGCTGTCCTGTCGTGTCCTGTCCTGTCCTGTGTTAGCAAATATCAACCACCTTTTCAGAAAAGAAAAAAATGCAGCTTCCGAAAGATACTGTAAAATTCTCTTACATAGCATAAGGGTATTAGTTGCATGATTTTAATTTGTGCATCCATGCATTTAGAGGTATAAAGAGTACTAAATTATTTTACGCAAGTCAAATTATTGTTCCAATGGTGAAACTGTATTGAAGTAAAAGTAAAAGTACTTGTATGTACTCAAAATAAAAGTAAAAAGTCACTTATTTAAAATGTACTTTACAAAAGTTTAACTATGTATTTGAAAATGGACCTTTCCCAGGTAAAGTAAACAGGACAGGAGCACGTATGGTCACGACATTTTATTTTTAATTTCAGATCACCTTTATGAAATAAAGTCCATTAACAAATTGTCCATGTCATCTTCAGAATGGCCCTGCGATGGATTGGCGACCTGTCCGGGTGTACCCCGCCTTCACCCGATTGCCGGCCGGGATTGGCTCCGCCCCCCGTGACCCCACAAGGGACTAAACGGTAGAAAATGAATGAATGAATGAATCTTCAGAATGATAACAGAAATCAACAATGAATTATTTTTGATTGTTTAAGTTAATTTATCCACTTACAAATGTCACAATAGCCAGTATTATCCCAGGAATGATTAGATTGTCAATCAGTATTTTTATTGTCCTACTGTAGTTTGCAAAGAAAAACTGTATCAGAAAAACTAGACCACAACAACTACAACTACAAAGTACATATGCATAATGCTGCTACTTACTGCTGTTCAGTTTGCTTGATATAAAGTTGTATTTCTGTTTTTCACTTCCACTAGAACTAGTTATCAGAGAGAATATGAGATTAGAATTCAGTAAATACAGCACCAATGTATTTATTTTTTTCCTTCATTAATAAACTTTAGTAGGTCTGTACAATTTGGCTGGTGTTGGTACTGGAGTCACTGGGAGCCGTGATCCTGAACCAGTTTGTTGCTCTGCTCCTCTATTTCATTCCCTGCATGCTTGTTATTCGTGCAAGTGAAAGCACCAAGCATCCATGGAAGTGTCCTATGTGAGCGAGTCTGTGTGATGCCACTTTGTGTCACTGGCAGTTTTTAATTTATTCAGATTCCCCTCTAAGGTCCAACCCAGTGGTACATGATCATGTAAAATTTGGCCCATTTTACCCTGCTGGTCGTTATTTGTACATGCTGTTATTACACATCACAGTAAATCAGCTCCTGCAACCATATCTCTGAATAAATTAAGACTGAATCATGTCAAACTGTATCAATCAGTGGGAGTTTTCTCTTGGCGTTATGCTGGCACTGCTGCATCCGTAATGTTTGTACACACACAGTGACGTATGTTAACTGTTCATGGTTGAAATGATCACAAACACCAAGAAGTGTAGGCAGATGTACCAGGGACTTCCTGGACTGTGTAGAAAAATTAGATTAGAAAAATTGTTGCAGTGATTGTAAATACTCCTCATGCTATTAGCCTGGCACATGGAGTACTGGATTTGTTTACAAGTGGACATTACTGTTCTCTGTAGTGTTCTTGTTGTCTTACTGATCCACTGGATGCCACAACACTACAATACCATCACTGAGAGTGTTGACAGCCAACGTCAAGGCACGCGTGTTTATACACCATCACAAAAGTGGAAAATAATGCTGAAAAATAATGTAAAGCATGTACTGAACGTACTGAACAAGACAAAACCAACCTTTAGTAGATGTGAGGTTTGTGATTTAGCTTGCAGTTGTTGGAAAACTTAATAGGTCTTCTAATTTTAATATTGATAATACTTGTATGCATGCTGATTAGAAGTTATAGATCAGGGAACACCAATAAAACCCCAGTTTGGCTCTGACATTATTCAGGGTACCAAACTGATATTCAAGTGGTCTGAAAACAACAGACCATTACTGTAACAAGAAGAACAATAGTATCTATAACGTGGGTTCAGACAAAGGACAAAGAACAAAGGTGCGACACAATCATCTCACACATGACCTTACTTAAGGTACAAGGGATTTGGAAAGTCCTTTCCTTTCCTGCCTCTGCGAATGGTTCAGGCTGCTGCAACGTGATGTGAGGTGCAGCTGGCTCTGCGTGTTTCTCCACAGTTCAGAACAGCCCTGAAGGCAGCAGAGCATGAAGGCAGACAGAAAGGTCTCAGGTGTGGAAAACAGTTTGACCTTCTGCATACAGACAGCAAACGAGGTTTGAGTCCATTTTAAATAAGTAGTAATATTTCAGCTTGTACATCAAGTCTTATTTTCATAGTTTCAAGTATACAATCTTCCTTTCACATCAATAACGTTGTTTTAATTTCTAAAGGTTCAATAAAGCGTTTTGGTACTTGAGTCCCTTTAAACTGAGCAAACTGAAAGGTGTTGGCCATGAGTCAGCAGGGCGCTTCTGTTGAATCATGTTTGATGTTCTGTGTTCATCTCATGGGGCACAGGGAGGCAGTCCCGTGCTTGTGTTTAGTGCAGATGCAAGCCAGAGCCTGAGCTGTACAGGACTGAGAATAAGAACAAAGGCACACAATGACACAGAGGAAGGAATAACAATGAGTGCTGTGCCGCAGTGTTGTGTGATTCTACGTGAACAAAGACAGTGTGGCGCTGGGGTTGAGTGTGCAACCATATGCGCACGATGGGGATAATTATCAGAGTATGAGGAGCATGTACTGTATATATCATTTCAGTAATTACTGTTCCGTGCTCTAATTACAGTGCAGCAGGGACACATTCACTTGCTCGTGTAAAATCTCTATATAACTTCCATTGTCAGTCACACATATAGAGACCCAGAAGAAAAAAACTTATTTCTTCTTTCTCCCTTTTGGAAATCTGATCTGTTCCCCTCGCTCTCCATGCAGCTGTCACTCCTCTCTTTCTTCATCCTTTGTCAGCTTTGCTTTGCTTTGACTCATGCTCAAAAAATGCCTGGAAAGCAACACAGAAAAATTAGACAAGTGCTGTATCTCTGACATTTGAGAATAAGTTCCTGTTTAAGGAACATCACTAAAAGTTGTTGTTCATTAAAATGACAGTTGTTTTGCTGATTTAGAAGACGGCAGGGCAAGCTGAATTTATGATCAAATGGGCTGCTCGGTACATTGAGTTCATTTTATTCTCAAGAAACTGGGTTGACCAAACATCGTAACAAGCGCTATGAAAGAACCAAAAGATTTGTGTCTAATGACAAAATGACCATTTATAATATACCTCTGAACAGGCCAGCTAATGAGTGGATACTTTTCATGGTCATTTTTACCGCAAAGGACTGGGCTCCCAAAAACATAATGCTATTTACAAATGCCCTGGAACACAGAATAAAACTCTCATATTTCATTTAATTGGGTTAATCAATTGTGGAAGCATAAAGATGCTCATTTTTATCCACATAACTTTTAAAAAACTGTGCATAGTACAGAAGTCAACATGATTAGATTTTTTTCGGCAACTCTGTTACAATTTAACCTCTGTTTTTTTATCTACTTACTACTTGTACTCTACATCATTTATCTACTTTACATACAGTAAGGTTTGGTCCAGTTGTTCCCATGGGGAACTCCCCAGGGTCTGAGGTGTCATGAGCTGATTAGCATATTATAAATATTCTCAAGAATAGCACATGTACCTCACAGTAAATTACCTAGTAAATGCACTCAGTGGAGGTATTTAAAATCCAAATTTAAAACTCATCTGTACATCATAATTTTCCATGCAACTATTCTGCTGCTGGTGGTGGATTTCAGTCTCATTGTATCTATTAAACCTAGTTACTGTACAGTATGTATGGTACAGTCCATGCTGTCCTGCTGATGAGATTACTGCAAACCTTCTGAAAACCACTGCACCTCTCTAACTCTTCTCTCGAGCACATGAGCGTCTGAACTGTGTGCCTCTCTCAAAGGACAGAGGATGTCATATGATCTACAGATTGTAAAACCCCTTGAGGTAATTGTGTGATTTGTGATATTGAGTAAAATAAATTAATTGATTAGATTTGACTAAAATGGTCAAGAGCAAGCAGAGAGACAAAGCAAACCACTAAATCTTGTTGCAGATGTATTATTGTTGGATCATCATTCCACATTCATCTACAGTCAGACAAATTTTATGGAGATACAGTATGTTGAGATATGAGAATTAAAATGAGGTTTTCTCTGCAGTGATCTCACTTTAGCACAGCAGGGTGAGAAGCTCAGCAAACTGAGGATTATGTCAGTCAGTCTCTGCACTGATGGAGTCAGCTGATGTTCTGGCATCTTAAAGCTGCCGTGCAAATGCTTCATTATGCCACTGCACCAATAATTAGATCCAGGATACACAGAAGGCATTTTATCTCCCAGATGACCTGTGAATCCCTCCCTGGGGAGGAACTGGAGGAAACTGACGAGGAAGAGGACATCTGGTGGTTGCAGGGCAACCTTAGCCCATATCCAACTGTACGTGTCATCTGGAAGATAAAGTCTATCTTTTGTGTTCTGACCAAGTGGCTGGTGCCTAGCTTCTTATAGTGACCTGATTGAGCAGTACGAAATCAGAAGGAAGGGTAGATAGAGTAACATTAATAGTGTATGTACAGATCCATCATCATTTTAGAGACTTGTTTAAAAAAAACAAAAGCTTCTGACACTGAACTGTACAAACAGCAAATCCATGAAGTCTTATATATTCTTCTGTTTCAGTGAAGCCACGTGAGGGTTTGGACATTTACATTAGAGACGAAAACAAAGTTATTTACAGGTAATTTCATAAGAGTATGATTTCTGACTCAGTGAAGAAATTTGCTCTTCTAAAGCAAAACCTTTTGTGCCATCTAGAGACTGCAGGTTGACTTACATGACGGCCATACATAGGTGTGACCACTAGATGACAGTATCTGCCTATGATACAGCTATAAAACTAGTTAAAAGACAGACCTGTCTAAATGTAACTTCTTAGTGGGTCTGGAATGTCACTTGCTGGGTTAAGATTGAAACAGCATTTTATTTTATTTTTTTACCCAAAGAGCAAGCCCAGGAGCAGCTGGAAATGCACGGCCACGTGTAGTGCTCTTCTCCAGTTCCTGTGTGAAAGTAGGTGCACACTGCACAATAGCTTCACAAATCAATATCTGCACACATTATTCAATCAATCAGTCATAAACCTTATTGCCAAGTATGTTAAAATATAAGGAGTTTCACTCCAGTTCAGTGGCCCCTGACGTGCACCAAATAAAACAAGAAGACAAATAACCATCTATTTCTAAATATGTTAGAAATGAGCTATTTTATGTACAATGATTATGTCTATAAGTTATTTCACTGTGGTATTTAGGGTTTCAGCTGTATACCAGTTTTACAGTACAACATGGTATGAAAATCGAGGGTTATCATACCATGCACAGGCGCTTATTACCAGTTTTGAAGAATAAAACACAATATGTGCACAACTTTCTATCAGGGCGCCACACGTTACTGACTCCTGTAGATGGACATAGGAAAATTCTTTATCAGAGGAGCAGACCTTTGTTGTCAGTTTGTGTCTGTTGCATTAAGCTATAGTTCTGAAACCGAATAAAGTTACTGTCAAACAGGTAGCTTCTGTTGGCGTCATGAAAGGTTGTATATGAGGAGCTGTGGGACTGATTGACAGAAAATTAATTAAGCTGCTTTGTTGAGTAATTAATTCATGTTGTAAGAAAAAAATCTCTTTCTTGTTTCAGCTTCTCATATGTTAATATTTGGTTTTCTTATACTTTCATGATAAATTAAACAATGACAAACTTCTTTGATTGTTCTTCTTGGACTGTTGATCATCAGTGTGCAGAGCTTCTGATAGTACCTTCAGGAGTCATCAGTCTTAACATGACTGGAGCGTTAAAGTGACTTTTTTCAGTCTCCAGGCATTATAGCTCATGTTATCCCAAGTTACAATTATTAAACCATAGGTGTAAGTGCCTTTAATTTGTCTAAATTATCGTTCTTGCTACAGTATAAGTAACAGTGCGGTGCCAGTCTACTGCCATCTGACCCTTGCTATTAATAGGCCAGACTTTATGCATTACATGAAATTATTCTCCTCAACCTGTCAGAGTATCACCGGTAATTTCTGTTCATATAGCTGTATCAGAAATAAATTCAACCTCACTCCACCATCTGAGCGTATGAGTCAAACAGGCTGAGTGCTGGAGAAACTCAGATGTGAGTTTTGCATCCCAGACATTTTGGTCCATCAGAGTATTTGGTGCAGGTATCTTTCAGGGTTGTTCTCCCCTCCTCTCCTGAGTCCTGAGCCAGTTCTTACTGGTCTCTGAGAAGTCCCTGTAGGGCTCTGGCTCTCGGTTAGTACTGCTGTGGCCCCTGTATTTCTTCCTGTTGTTCTTATGGTGGTGCGTTGATGTGGCTCTGGACTGCTGTGTGCTTCTGCCTCAGCATCATTTTCCTCTCTTGCATCCTTCCCATAGTTGCTTGGTGAGCTCTCCCCAATTCTGACAATATTTAAACAACATGGACACAAATGACTACGAAGCACCCATATATACACACAGTTATTTGACTGGAAGATTAGGATAACATTTCTACCTGAGGTGATTGAAGGCACGCAGCCAGTGTGATCCCAGAGCATTTCTCCCATTAGTCCTCAGCCTTCTTCGGTGACTTCGCGCCCTCAGTCCAATTAAGGCTTGAGCCAGTTCAGCGTCATCTCTGTGGCCCCAAACCAGCTGGGCCCTCTGCTCTGCATCCTGATCCCCTGCCTTCCTGAACAGCCTCTGTAGCTGCCACACATTAACATTACTGAAAATGTTCCCCGAGCCAGCCTTCCTGCTTCTCTTCTCAGCCAGCTGCCATAGGAAGGAAGGGCCCGCCACCACGGAGGACGGAGGGGAGGTGGGTCCAGTATCCATCTGGAGAAACCCTGAAAAAGGTGTCATACAACTGGCTCAACTCTGTGAAGGAGACAAGAGTCTCAACTCATTACGGTGTGTTTCCAAAGTGAACGAGCACAATATCTCACCTGTCACACAAAGGCCTCCAATCAGCTGCGTCTGCTTTAGGGAGTGAGTGACGAGCTGTCCTCTTAAGCCCGTTAAACTGCAGATGGTGACTGTGTCACTGTTTAGTCACATAGCTAATGCCTACAAGTGGGACACCAACAGATAGGCATTAGTTAAGTGACCATGGCCACCTCTGCTTATGGGTCAGCAGCCTTTTGACTGAAACAACCTTCTTAGGTTGTACAAAATAGTGTTAACTTCACTTAGGCCTGCTCGCTTTCTCCAGAGCTTCCAAAACTAGATCATTTCTCAGATAGTTTGTGCAATTCTATATCGTCCTGTTCTGTAGTCTGCTTTGTGAATGCATTTAATTTCTATTCTTAATCTTAAATCTATCAAGGAATAAGAGAAACAATACAATGTACTGGCGAGCATTTCATACTAACATGACATAATTCTGAACCAGTAAGTGGGTTATGTGAAGGACACGTCTGGTTTTGTTTTTATCTTATAGACTATCATCACTATAGTATTCAGCTCTAAACAGACAAACACGTACAGTCACAGATCTACTTATTTGCATTAAAATGGGTTAACACTAACCAACAGGCTTCACGTTATTGCCCTCCCACCTGTGCCTGCTGTTTATATTCGTTACAGTTCACAGGTGCAGAGATATTTTTATTGCAAACTATGAAATAAGGAATTACATTTGCAATAACCGATGCCCTGTCATATAAGCTAAATTACAATGTAGCAACTGAATAACTTAATGTACCAGTGAGAGTAATGTGAAAAATGAAGGGACACTTGCTTACCCGAAATACCCGGAGCGCTTCTTCTCTATGAAAACCACCAGAGCAGCGTACTGTGCCCTTCTACTGCAATCAGTTCCCGTTTTTGAGTCCCCGGTTGATCACAAATCAATGTCGAATAAACGACCAATGCGAAGAGAGCTGTCTTCCGTTCCCTTCTGTCAGTGTTTCATTTGGACCAATCACAGGGATGGGCGGGGAGTAAGCTCCGCCTTCTCGCCACATAGGCTGTATGCGCTGAAATCCATTGACGTCAGTGAGCCTGGCAGGCACAAGTGGTATTTGTCAATTATGCGGGAGAGAGCAGCAGCATGTGCGCAGCCTGAGCTGTAACACGCAAACCGGATGACGCACGGGCATCTAAACACAGTGCAATATAGATAAAGTTATCTGTTGTGTTTTATTTCGAGTGCTATGGAAGACATTATAATTCTGGCCTAAATTAATGAAACAATAAGACTGCCTGTGTTGCAACGAGAAATCTTAAAAGTTTTACTCGTATGTTTTGTTCAAATCTTTGTCTTGCTGTCTCTACGCACTTTTACATTCCTTTGATAAGGGTTGAAAACCAGAGGAAGGTCACACACCCAGGGGTAATTGCACCACCACTGGGAAAGGCAGCAGATGAGTGGGCATGGATCCAGGAGTCCAGGGGAGGAGCAGGGTT